CACTCCATGAGGTGCATCCTAGAGAGGCTAGAACTTGCAAAACTTTGGATTCCCCTCCTGTACTGGAAGAGCAGCATTTTGCTTCTCCTTTAATCTTGAAGTTATTTATGTTATGAGTTGTGATTATTTTTCAATAGAAATCTTCCCTTTGTCCCGTTCCCCCCCCTCCATGTAGAAAGCTAGTATAGAATTTCCTGAGGCTTGGTCTGTTTGTTTCCCCTCTCTTCCCCCATTAGATGTCAATGCGTATTTTTTTCCTTCTACTGCTAAGTATAATCAACCATTCTGCAGTCCTTGCAGCCATCTCACAGTTGATGAAGTCAGCTTTTCATTTATATCTGTCTTAATATAGCGATCACATTGTATTTTAAGCCCATCTCAACCGTTGCCTGCCCTTAGACTGTTAGAAGTCAGAAACTTGCAGACCTATTTGAGTTGCTGTTAAAAATCTCAGTTGTATTGAGAGAGCATGTCATTTGGCTTTGTGAATGCTATGAATTTTTATGAGTCTAAAATTTGTTCAGTATTTGCAAGGTAGGATATTATATTCCGCGATTGTCCCAGATTACTTGATGTGTGTTTATCTAAGCCTGAAATACCAAGTATAAGATACGGGACAGCAAACAGCTGATACCTCTTAAAATACATTGCAAAGGTTAAGGAAATGAAGGGGAGGGAGGGAGGAAGAAATCTACTAATGCTGAAGGGACATGAGGAGGTTTTATATACCACCAGACCTGTAAGCCAGAAGATTGAAATGAACTTCAATCTTGGAATTACTAAATTAAGTCAATGTTCTGGTATATTTTGACTACAGCTAAAAATTATCTTGATCTTCCCCATTCATGATGACCTTTGCTACCTCCTTTTAGAGGAAAGCTATGATATTTAGTGATGCTTTAATAATTGACTGTGTTATGCCAGAAGGAGAGTCTGAAATGTCGTCTTTTCTCTTCTTTCAAGTGCCTTTAGGGGTCTATGGCAGTTTGCCTGTGTCTTCTAGAAGTGCCCTTTTTTGACTCAGGAGGGGAGAGCTTGGGTTGCCTATTATTTAGGGAAGCACAGTACCTCCTGTTGCTCTTGTACTCCTTCAGGTGCCCATGAGGAGGAGAAAACTGGGAAAGGAAAGCTTTTACAGGCAATATTAGAATAGACAGTACAGTGTTTCTCTTCTGTTTAGCCTGCAGGATACTATGCTTAAAATCTTTCTTGCTTTTCTTGTGGGTGTATGAAGGCAATTGAGTGGATTTCTGAAATTGCCAGATTCCTAGTTGGTTTTCTTCCCATCTAAAACCATGAGGAGAACTTTGTCTTGTGGCAGGGGGACCAGATTGCCCATGACGCTACCTGCTAGGCTGCTGATCTTGCCCTGCTCTGTAGGCCTTGCAGACAGCCTATTTTATACAGTGCGGTTGGTTGATGGGCAAGGTTACCCGAGTCAAGCTTTTGAAGGCAGGTCATTGCAGCCCCAGGACTCGGAGTGCTGCTACTCTGCAGTCACCATCTCCTTGGGAAGCCTCCAGAGATTGTGAGAGGTAAGAGCTTGCTTTGCAAAAGGATGAGAGCATGAGAGACTTGAACTGTGACATGATGGAGGAAAGACCATAGTTCTGTTGTAAGAGCAAGAATCTCTAGGTAGAAAACACTTTTTTTAGTGAATTGCTGATACTGTTATGTGAATGTCCGCCTGGGTGACGCCTCTGTTTCCGTGAGGAGATGATAGTGTTCATTGCTTGCTTACATGTACTTGCAGTCCATAAAAGCTGGCCAATGGGAGGAAGGGGCACATAGGATGAGGGGCAATAGTTTGCACCCCAGGCTCCTATCTGGTGGCGTGTAGTTGCAACAGATGTGAATTCAGCTTTAATACTTTTGAACCCAAATGCTGTTTAAAAATGGTGGTTGCACAAGGACTTTTAGTTCATAAATCTGCTCGGTTGACTTTGTTAATATTTGCTGATTAGGAAGTGTTTAACATTTTTAATGTAACTGTTCTAACTTGTTTCAGTTCCCCTGAGCAGACAGTTATGATCTCTCTGAGCTGATGATTCTTTACATTCTCCCAAACAATCCGTCTTTACAGGTGTGGCAAGCAGAGAGGATTTTGTTATTCTTTGTCAGCTTCTTTGGTGAGGCAGTACTGACAGTCTGAAGGAAGTAACCTAGGGTTTAAAAGATCGCCTGACACCTACTGGTCAGAGGACTTGATTGCCTAGGGTTTCTTGCCATTTCTCGCTGGGAATTAAACTATTCCCTCTTCTCGAGAGCCATTGGTAACTAGATAGTTAAACTAACACTTTTTCTCCCTAAATAAAGCCTTTTTGTATCATGTCTTGGAAGTACAGAATGCTTTATAATTGCATGATAATATACAACATAGGCTTGATTCATTATCAAAAAGCAATCTATTTATTCCTTGCTGTGAGTTTATGTACAGTGCTCTGCTAGAAAAGATGTTTCCTCAGAATGAGGAGTAGTACTTTAACCCTAAATGTGAATGTAAGTACAATACCCGTAGCTGCAGTTTTGCTAGAAAAATCAGGCCTGTGTTTGGTGATGTACGCTGGAGTTTTTCTTTTCCTGATGTACATCTCTTGGGCACGTTGAGTAGGTCTTTAAGATAAAATGCCCTTTGAGCAGAATTGTGACAACTTTACAAAGCCAGTTTATCAAAACCTCATTACAATTAACTACTGTTATATAGAAAAGTACTATTCTTTTGCAGGTGGTTTAGAAAAGCCCACAAATGTCTTGCAAGTAGGTATACAGAAATTTTACAAGATTGGCTAAAAGCTTTATAGACTTAATAACAGGGTTTCAGATTTTCTCTAGGAACGAAGGGGTAGTTAATTTGGAGTAAGATAGATATGCTGGTTTTTGTCAAGTTTAATTTTGAGTCATGTTGCATTGGCTTTGGAAACAGCTTTTTTTACAAGGCAAAAGCTTGTTCTTGCTTTGGGGAACTGGGTTCAGGCTTCAAGTGTCACTTACCCTGCTTTGTAGTCTTTGACAGGCATTTTTGCCTACTTCATCTCCCCTTTGGCTCCTCTGCCTTTTCAGTTAAAGAGTGTCCAAGCAAGGACAGTCAGTGAACACAGCCAAGGCCCTGAACTATCTGATGTCATCATAAATGCACACTAGTAGTTTATATTCTCTGCTTCAATCTGAGGTTTTTGTGTTGTACTGGAGCAGTTTCACATGTCCAGTTTTAGTTTCAGCACTGAAACATGCTGCGCTTCTGTGTCTATAAATAACTGCTAAAAATAAATGCTAGAACGTGTCGCTTAACATACAGACCACCTGATGACACGCACATGACAAAGTTCCTAACGGGTGTGCCCTTCATGGAATTCCTGTTTATTAAGTGTGTTTATTTCTAGCTTCAGTGGTTTGGGATTTTGTCATTTACAGAAATCTTACTTGTAAAAGATTACATGAAGAATTTGAATATACGACCAGAAACATTTATATTGCCACTATTTTTTTTTGCTCTCCTTTTACCACTGAAAAGTCATTTGTCTTGACATGGCGAGAGTAGAATAAGGGAGGAGAAAAAGGAATGGAAAGTAAAGGCAGCAATAGTTAGAAAAGGAAAAGATTAAGAGAGGAGGAGAAGATCCAGAAGAAAAGTTGTAGGTGTTTAAACTTCAGACCATAACTAACTTCCTGATTGATGAGGAGGAATGAAGATTATGAGCTCCACTGCCCCCCCACCCCCCAGTATCTGCCTTTCTTTAGCTTTTCTTGCTTTCAAGGCATCTGTTTAACTGCCTTGTGCCCTTTGAAGGCAAGGGCTTGTAATAGAGCCAATGAAAGGCAGGTTTTTCTCTAGTGCTGTTAGTTTTTCTTGTCATCATTATTAAATCTGTTACTAAAGGATTACTGACCAACACTGTACTGAAATAAAGTGCTTTTGTCCTGTTCAAAAATAGCAGTCAAACCATTCTACTTGCTTGTTTTAAAGAAAAACAAACAAAAACCCCAAGCCCACAGTGATATAAAGAAATGGATTAGTCAAGAGCATTGCAAAGTTAATTCTGCATATAATTAGTATGATTATTTTGCAGCCCATGTCCAAAGGAATATACTTGGGTGATGGCAGTCTAGCACCATCAGGACTTGGACTTTGCTATGATTCCTACTTTCATAAATAATATGAAAGGATATTTTACATCAATAGCGTTTCTGCTGTAATGGGGAGAGCGGGATTCTACTAGCTTTCTTCCATCAAATTATTGTGTGTTGGAGGAGGGTAGAAGATTGAAGCAGGGTCAATCCTCCAACAACTGTCCTGGCTACAGAGACTAACAGAGACTATAGACAGTCCCTTCCTGCTGCGGTGTTTTGAAGTCTGCTTGGTGCTTCAAGTTGCTGGTGCTCCATGTGAAAAGCTAAAAGTGCTGTAGGGGCGCAGACTCCAGCGTGGTGAACAACTTGCTGCCTGACTGCAGAGAGCTATTATCAGTCATGGGTTCTTACCCTTTTTCTTTTGAGGTGGTAGTGCTTGTCTGTGGAACCTTTACTGTGTTTTGAAGAGGATGCTGAAGAATAGCATAGAGAGACAGTCAGAAGTTAATACTTGCCAAGGGTTGTAATCTTAAATGTCTTATAATAAAACTTTCAGTGGCCTTTTTTGGGCCTATTTTGACTAAAAAGCAGGTTTTTTGAAAAATCTCAGCTTAAGACTGATGAATGCTGCGTGATACTGGTACTTGCATATGGCATTTGATTTAGTAGTCTTTTTCTTGTGACAGTGTTGCAACAGTGTCTTCTGCAGCTGGGTGCTATTTCCTGGGGCTACTGGTGGTTTTTAAAAAGCGTTCTATTTTTACTGCTCACTCAAACAGTAACGTCACTAGTGGCTTGCTTCCCTGTAAGTGGTGGGATTTGTGTTTCCTCATAGGACAGCAACATATGTAGCGTACTGATCCTGAAATGTAGTATCTTTTTCCTCTCACTATAGGAGATTTCAACTATCCTAAGACAAATTTGCTGCAAGTATGACCTCTTCTCAAGTCACCTTTGAAGTAAGAGGACCATCAGTACCAGGTACCCAAATCATGCTTTCTCCTTTTGTATGGTTTAACTAAAAGAAAACTGAATAGAAGAATGTTCAAAGACTGTCTTTTCTGTTTTCTTCAGAGGTAAAAGAACATGTCAGTTCAAATATCAAAATACACTAATTAGAAATTTCACACAGAAATTTGAAAATGAGATTTGGGAATTAATTTTTACCTTCAAATGACGATTTCATACTGTGCTAGAGACTTTGATGCTAACTGAAGTGGTTACGATTGTTTTAAAACCAGTGTTCTGTCTATATTAACTTTTTATTCCATAGGAATGAGTATTTACGTTCTGGGCCATGATACGGCATGCAGGCATGCATTGACGTGTTTGTTCTGTTTTTTATTCTGTCTGCATCCCTGTTGAAAGTTCTCCATAACAAGATGTGATCTCTACCAGGAGTTAAGGACAGAAAGAATATGCAGCTTAATTCAATATTCTATCTGTGCAAAAATGTGTAAAATAATTTCTGTAATCTAAATGAGGAATGCAAGATGCCAGATCATGTAGAACACCAAGATTTAGTGTTGATAAGTTGTGCTTATTACTTTGACCTTCGTCTTCAGGAGCTTTGAAGGAGGGTCACAAAAAAATATTGGTGGTTGCCTAACAGAAGCAGATGAATGTGGGAACATGTACAGATTGGCAAAATTCCTGTTACAGGCAAATACCAGATGGCATAAGTGCTGTTGTAGTTGGGGAAGAAGAATGATAAAAACATTTTTAAAAGTTTTGACATCTCTCCCATGTTAGACCTCTCCCGTGTTTCTCCCATTTGACTGGGAATTTGGGAACTGAACGTTGGCACGTAATGTGGACACGAAGCCTTTAGTAAGGAGTAGTGTTTTTATAGCATTCTGGAGAAAACTTTAAAATGAAATTGAAAAATAAATTGACCATAGATCAAATGAGGCTATAAAGCACTGGTGTAGCTATACAGTGGAGTATTGCAAGCCATGCTTTTTTTGCCCTGTTCAGTGTTGCTTCTACCGTTGTGATGGCACTGTCACTAGCCAAGTTGAATTCACATGTGTAACTTTTTCTTTCACTGATAATATCTGCAGCAAAAATTAGGATTGGGGAGAACTAGATCCTGCCTCAGTGGCTGGTTACAAAGAACTACCTGGAAATACTTATCACATATATAGCATGAAGAGGTGACACAGAAGGTTGCTTCTGCTTATGACAATATTCATACTGTTGGTTTTGACCGGGGAGAAGAGCTGTGAGATGCAGGGGTGGCAAGATGCAGTCTTGTGATAGAGGAGAGGTAGGTTTTCAGAGCTACCAGCAGTTCTACAAACAGCAAAATTTCCAGTTTATTTAGAAACTTCATGTACTGATTTTGTCCGATCACCATGTGAGTAGTTAGTTGGTGAGACAAGAATCCTTGCCTTGAGTGCTAATGTGCTCCATGTGTCCTCATCACTATCCCTTCCTGTTGATGTTAAAGCCAGTGGTTCCAGGCTAACTGGCAGTTCAAAAAGGTATCGCCAACGTAGGAGTGATGCTTTGACTCACTCCGTCTAGGCAAACCACTTCTGAAGTCAACGTTGGTGATGAAGCCCAGCATGTTGATGTAGGCTTTTACATATTTGTGACATGAAGTGCTTCATTTTTACCTCATCCTAGTGAAGGAAGAGAGTCACTGGTTACTGGCTGTGACTCCTTTAGTTCTTCATCGGGACACACTCCCATACCAAGAGACTGCTAGGTGGCCAAGTATTAGTTAATATGAAATAAAAAATGAAACTTCTACCTCCCGACTGTACACAAAAGTTCTGCTCTGACAGAGCTGGCCCAGGCGGAGAGATTGCAACATCAGCAATAGTTTGGAACAAAAGATTTTATAAAAAAAGGGTTTGTAGTTCAAGATGTTATCGAAAATTGCTTCAGTAAGCTGTTTTTAGGAACAAATTACCTTACTTAATTCCTGCCTTTTGCAAATTTTTGCAACCCCTGGGTCAGTAGGGGTTTTTTTTTCATAATCAGACCTGGTTGTTTAGATTAACCTGTATAGCTGGAAAACATGGACACGATTTTAGAGGCATTAATACATCCTCAAAACTGTTCTTTCAGATTTGAAGTTCCAGCTATGGTATTTGGCTTAGTAAAAGGTAGTGTATCTTTGTTGTATATATCTTGCCTCTTTTGTCTCTTCAGATTATTGTGGCTCCAACACTATTGCTACTGCTTTCCCAGTTTGAGAACCTGAAATCACAGTCACAGATACTTGTATCTTGCTTTTGTTAAGACTGATGCTTGTTTTATTGCAGAGTTTTCAGCTACCAGTTTGATCCTTGATTTTTTTCTACTGACGCAGGATGGTTCTGGATACCCTCTCCCTTTTTTCTCAAATGGTGTATACACACACAAGTAAATTTCAGTATGTTGTTCTTATTACATTTTATTTGGAAGTTGTTCCAATACTCTGGTAGTTATTCCATTTTGCATAGACTAAAAGGTTAAGCAGATTGTGCATAAATACACTTCAAAACTTCAGATACTCTGCTTCTACAAAAGATTTTTTTTTCTTGTCTCTAAAAATATTCTCGAGAGTCTGTAAAAGCAAAATACTGATTTGTCCTGTTCATTTGTATTTATAGTTGTTGTTCTTAGTCGTGTGTGTGAATATGGATTTTATATTAAAACCAAGGAACAGTTGCAATGTTAACTTTAACTCCTGGATATCCTGGAATCAAACGTTCTTGTCATCAAACGTCATTGTAATCTTTTGTATTCTTTCCATGCGTATGTATGCATTAGGGTAGACAGTGTGTCACAATTTAATGTTTGGGGTTTTTTTGTGTGTGTTATGTTTTTATATCCAATAAAAACCAGAAAGCATAGTAGTAAAACTAATTTTATTTCTCACAGGAATAAAATTAAATCGGTGTGTTGTCTTGATAATGATGCTAACAACCTTTTATTTGTGTGTGCTTCCTAGAGTATTGGTATGAATTTTGGAGAATCGTGTTTTTAGACATGAATATTACCTTAGTACTGTGTGTATATATTAAAAAAACACCAACCCTGTGCAGTATGTAGGAAAAAACTGGTTCGTCTTGACAATAAGCATTTTACAGTGAAAATCTGCCTGCTGCATTTGCAGAGATTTTTGAACAGTATTACTGCAGGAGGGTTTGGAAGCCAAACCCTTTTAAGGGCTGGGGCTGTCAGTAGTCCCTCCCTCAGTGAGGTCTTCCTTTACAATGGAGAAGGAAACACAGGTGTAATTTTGGGTAGGGGAGGAATTCCCTTCTGAACTGAAAGTGGGAGTTTGGATGGGTATTTAAAGTATTTGAAGGTTTGACTGTTTAGAATGTACTTACTAATTCCATATAGGTTGGAGTAATGGTGATTGTGGGGTTTTTCTGTTTGTTTGGGTTTTTTAGGAGAGGTGTTTGCAGTATGTGGGAGCTGCAGTGCTTTGGGAAATTGGAATCCACAAGTTGCAGTGGTCCTCCAAACTGACGATCGGTAAGTTTGAATTTTTGTTGTTTTTCTTTGTTCCCTTTGAAGTAGCTGGCTTTCTGGAGCTACAAATTTATTCTGGCTCTGAGTTTGTAAACTATTGAGCTACACCTGTTGTTAATAACACTCTTCAGAGTGTCTTGTCTTGCCATTGGAACATTTTGAATGCTTAGGAATGTGTCTAAGAAAATGTTTAACTTGGGTATGCTGTTCTAGTTACAGGTGATGGTTCTACTGTTGTGGCTGGCATATTTCAGTAGTTGTAGACATTTTGAGTAAGAAACTGCTATGGATAATTCTCAGTCCCATAACTATACAGAAAGTTACAGGAAATGTTTATAGTGTGTACTTTCTTTTTTCACCTATCTAAGTTATAATGGTGGATATAAAGAGATGAGGAAAAGATTATTTAAAATCAGTGTTGCATTAAAACTCTCAAGTGGTTTATGTGCATATAAACATGAGTGTACATGAAGAAAGTTTAGATGCAGTGGAGGAATTCAGTGTTTTCTTAAAATGATGCCCTGCCCATTGCTGTTTTTATGGTGAAGGAAAACAGGGCTTGCAGGATGTATTTATAATTCTGACCGTGACTTGCTGTGTGATCTTGGATGAGTCCCTGAATTATTTCATCATGTTTTCCCCATCTGTTAAATGACAATGAAAATTCTTGCTGTGTTAGAGCACTTCAGATCTGTGATTAGAATGTGTAATTTCAGTTCTAAGTATATATTGTGCTTTGTGTGTGTTTGGCTAAGTTACCTTGTAAAAACCTTTCTTGCAGCAGTACACTGCTGAATATCGCTTAGGACAGACGTAATGTTGGAGGTGGCTGTTAGCCTGTATTTGGAAACTGTTTTGGGTTTGTTTTTTCCACAGTCAATTATGGAAAGCTACTGTAGAGCTTCCTAGAGGAGTTCCTGTTCGATATCGGTATTTTAAAGGGTACTTCCTAGAACCTAAGGTATGTACAACCTTTTCTATTTTAAGATGGCTCATCCTTAGTAAAAAAAAAAACCTCCCTATGTGAAGTAAAAAAGGATTTTCTGAGTTGAACTTGGGTTTTAGAAATATATCTTAAATTGCAATATATGAAACATTGAAACGTTTGTGGAAATACAAGCAGTTCACTTCTGGAAATACATGACCATGTGCTGTTAACTTCCATTATTTTTGTTAAATTGTCTCCCCTCTTTTACCATTGTTAGTGTTTTAAAAATTCCAGTAATAGTAAAATGCCTGACATTATAATAAAGCTTAAATGGTGTGGTGAAGTTCTCATTAGTTTTAGTGGAGCTTTAACAACTTCTACACTTATAATTGAATATGGACTTCACCAGGGCAAGGATCTCTAGCAGGGAAGCAGGCGATAGCAGGAGACAAATGGTTAGTGTGAGCAGGTGTATTTAAATTTGCCTAATCTAGTACAGTTTTTAAAATGACTGCAGATCTTCTGGACAAGTGTGAGAAGTATTAACTAGCTTTTGTGCTACATACTTAACACATGTTAATCTCTTGGAGTGATAAAGTGTAAAACAAGGAATTGGGGCATCCCAGTGTTTTCTCTAGGTTTGTATATAGGTATTTGCATGACTGGGGGGAGGGGGGAACCCCAAGACACACACAGATGTGTTTTTACAGGTATTGATGGTCCAAGTTGCATGTGAGTGGTATGTATGTGGCAGTATACAGGTCTGCAGATACTGTACTAGGGTAAGGAGGAAGTTCTTCAGACTAGGGGTGAAACTGCACCAGAAAAAGCTGGACTAATTTGGGAAAACAAGTAGCTACACTTAACTGTTTTTCTTAATAACAAGTAATAACCGTAAGAAATAACACATTTAAAGCTGTCTTTACTATCTTTCTTACTCTATTAATATCCTGTAGCTCTTCACCCTGGGCTTTAATTCTTCATTGAAATTGGGATTATGAAGGCTGGAGCTAAATGTGCAAAGGAGTTACAGAATCACCTGGTCTATGTCTCTTAAATATTTTAAATTACTGTCAAGAGTGTGTAAGTTTTTGTCAGCTGGAGTAGCCTTTCTTTCACTAAAAAATTATTTGACAGAGGTATCTCAATGAAGGGTACTAATTTTAAATGAGACACAAGAGACTGCCTTCTGTTTTTTCATTACAGCATGTTAAATAGTCTAATCTGAAACAGATGTTTAAATTGTTACTCTGAGGAAAAAGAAGGGAGGGTCAATAATAGGTTTCTTCTTCTGAGGCCAAAAGTAGATCAGTTCTCACAGCCTAGCAGCTCTGATGGGACTCTTGTATCTTTTGAAAATGCCCACAAGTTTAAAGTGTAAGCAATAGCACACTAGAAAAAGCACACTTAGTGAGAACAGATGGGCAGAAAATGTGCTCATAGGCAACACAATTTCTGTTTTAACATTTGAAAAAGTTTACGATGTGTATTGGTGAGTGTGTTTCTTTAAGTAGGTGCTCTGTATCGTGCACGCTTTATGTACCGTGTGATGCAGAGTCTGCCAAGGTAAGTATAAATTTTATGGAATACCAGCATAAAGAGCTACTGTATATAAAAAGGAGGAAAAAAACCCCCACCATACAAAACAAAGTATGTGAATTGCCAGGGTACATTGTTATCCGCTTAGCGGTCTCTAGCCTGTACCTGTTAAGTGCACAGGATATTATTTCTTACTGCAGAAAGTAATTTGGAGAAAAAAAATTTGAGCTACAATGTTTTCTTTCTCTTGTAATTTTTTTGAAGAACAATGGAAAAACAGAATCCCTTCATTCTAACAGGAATATAGTGTGCAATATAGTGCAAATGAGACAGTATATGGAGGACTTTAGCATTAACAACTCTGAAAAGGAAAAGATATTTCTGAGTTAAATTATTCTGAATATTTATATTTTGGTAATTCTTTTCATTAGAGATTGCATGTGATTAGTCTCCTAAATTTGATAGGCTTGCAATATATGATCCCTCAGACACTGTTAACTTTTTGTATCCGTGCAATTTTGTGTGTCGTGGTTTGTAGTAGGATAACTTAAATACACGTGTAGTCTTAAAATGTTAAAGTCTGAATATATGAATTTGACACCATGTAATTGAGTAAACCATGCTGAATACAGATCCAGCTGAAGTTACTGTTCCCTTCCTTTTTATGTTGACTGCATCTTTGAAGATGCTGGAGTTTGACAGGGTGGCAAAGCTGAGGGTGATACATGTTTAGACAGAGAAATAATGGTTCTCATATTATCCAAATATTGCTACAGACTAGATGTGAAAATAGGTATAACAATTCACATTTTGGGGAGGGGAAAAAACCAAATAGGGAATAATTTTTCTCACTTCCCTTTAAAAAAAAAAAATCATTATTTGATCTCTTAAATTATTTTTCTTTAAGGATAGTACGATGTCATGGGAAGTTTGGTTTGTTTGCACTGAAACATTTTGGTGTTAAAATGATTCTGGTTATGTAAATAGAGCATATTTTTTTATACTTAAATTTATAGAATATTTGTAGAAATATAAATACATATATATATACAAAGAACATTTTACTACAGAGTTGGTGCAAATCTTGGCTCCTTCATATCAAGAGTTTTTACTATGTTGTAAACATTTTAATGGTAATATAAGTGTCATCTTAAACATTTTAAAAGAAAACTAAATACGTACATTTGATGAAATAAGACAGTAATTTAAATTATTTTGCTCCAGGTTTGTTCTTGTCTTAAATGTAACCTGGTACCAGATACCTTACTGTGAGAATCTTCCCTTCTTTTTTTTCTACACTTACCTTCTGTTTGTTGGTGGGCAACCACACACCAAACACTCCTTGTCTGGAATTTGTCTTGTGCATATCGTATGTTTTGGAAGAATGCTTTGATATATATTTTTTGCATGATGCATATTTGAAAACCTTAGTAAGGTAAATACATACCTTATTTCGTTAAGCTGTGCTCTGTATTTGTTTCTCCAACAGTAAATAAGCATGGATGTTTAGGGTGATTTCTTCCAAGGAAAGTGTGAAATAACTAAGCTATCTGTGCATTTAGCAGAACTTTTAAAACTGGATTGGTGAACGTTTTTCACACCTGTGAGAATATTGCTTATTTATAGAGGTTTCAAGTGAGACTTTATTTTTCTAAAACATAAATCCATTTAGTGCCTGGAATGTAGTAATAAATGTGAAACTTGGGTCTAGGATCAGTAATTTCTTTAATATCAGGGTGCCTTAGAAAAGCTTTTGCTAGACTAATAACCCATGGTTAACCTGATAATAACAAAGGAACACCTCTGCTGTGACTGCGCTGAGATAGCAGATTGTGTGTTAAACTGTTACTGGAAATACCAGAGCTATAAAATCTCTGCTTAGCCCAGGACTTCCTGGCAGGTGACTTGTATGTGCTGTTGCCTTGCAAAGTTAGTTATGATGGCTGAATGACTTTGGTTGATTGTTTGGTTTTTGTGCTTAACTTATTGTCTGTTACATGGTACAGAAATCCAGAGAGATTCTTGTCAGAAATCCAGCATCAGTAGTTACATCTAAATCATTTAGCTTTTCATGTTCTTGAAGTACATGAATATTCTTGAAACATAGTTTTAAGAAGGGCGATTGAATAAATGTAGTTGTGTGGTGTTTTTAAGATGATATTTTTTTTTTCTAATGCCTATTCTGTTGTGTTGCCGTGGATCAGGAATATTGGAATTGGCCTCCTAAACAGTCATTTGAATGTCTACGGAAGTGCTTTTGTTTTTTAGTTGTACTGAGCACCCAAGCACTTAATGTGGAGTGTGCGTCAGACTGCTTTGAACCTTTGGAACATTATGCTACATAGGCATTTTACCCTTCATTTCAAAAGTGTCTAATGACTACTGGGAGACCCTCCAGCTTCCGACAATGTAAGAGGACTCGATTTTTTGAGAAAATTCATGACTGTCTCTTAAGGGCTTTAAAATTGCATCAGATGTTCAGCTAAATATAAATCAAGCAACATAATGTATTTGCTTAAAAAAAACCCCTCTGTGTTAGTAGAGGCATCCATGCTGTACGGTGCAAATTACTATAATCTCACTGTGCTGCCCCCTGGGATGCCTGACGTGACATTTGGATAGGTGCCTTTTTAAGACTGTCCTAGCAGAGGCTGACTTTTTAGATAACGTTACTGTACTATGAATATTGATGACACGTCATTAATTTCCACTACAGGCTGATGCGAACTGGCTGTTGTTCAAATGTGGTCAGTATATGCTACTGAAATTACATCACTATTTTGACCTCATTGTAACAATGACTTCTGTTACATGTAATTAAAACATCCTGGCTGCAGATTATTTAAATGCTTAGAAACACAAAGATGGTCTGAGCAGAGGTTGTGAGAGGGCTCTGTTATGTCTGTGCCTGTTCTCTAATCCACTGCCCTTTTCTTCCACATAGCTTTGACTGGCTCTTCTTTGCATGGAAAATGTTGAGGGTTCCTAGGACTGAATGCATGATCACTGTATTCCTTTCAAGGGCTGAAATTTTTCTGAATGTATGTAGCGTGTTGTGTTTATTGTTGGGATAATGTTACTCATTCTCATTCATAGTTTTAGAACCTAAAATTAAAATGTATGATTACAGTAATGTAAGAAATAAACTGGTATTGGTATTTTAATACATTATATTGGGGTTTTCTACAAGGAAAAACCTTTTGCTTACCCTTTGAAGAAAACTGCTTAATTCATGTTAGGATGGACTTGCATTCCCCAGATTTGCAAGCTACAAGTTCTGTGTGTGTTCATGGGAGCTGCTGTTGGAGAGCTTGCAGGCCTGCGTGGTGTTAGGAGATGGTAGCCTCCCTGCTGGCAACCACAGGTTTCAGCTTCAGCAACTAAGATTGTGACATGCAAGTGTGGATCTGCTATGAAAGAAGGGGGAAGAAACTTCTCATTGTTGACTTTTCTAGAAGTCTGCAAGAGTGGTCTTTGTGGCAGCAGTGAGAAGATAGGAATTAAAACTGCCCTGTAAAAGAAATAAACTGAAAACAATAGTATCATCTTATTTTTGTATTTACGTGTATTCTATCTTTAAAGCATAACTTTAAGCATACAAATTTTATTCTGACATGACCCTGAAGTAGTGATGCCTTCAGAATTCATTAGAAAACCTGAACTGCTTTTATCGAAGACTCATAGAGCAAATGTGTCTTACTGAGAGCTTTTTAAATATTTGGCGTTTGCTGTTAAGTCATCCAAAGCATAGCAGATCAAGTGCGTTTGATATACGTCAAGAAATCCTATCTGCTGCTAAAGAATATATTCAGCGAGCTGTAAGATAACAAAGCATTATGGTACTGTGTAATAGTACTGCTGAGTTTGAAGCTTGTCTGGATGTCCCTGTTCATCTGAAACCTATTTAAAGAAGAACCTGAAATACGGGACAAGTTGGCATTGAAGCTTATATGTAATAGCAATAATATGTAATAAGTCAATAGTAGCAAGTCTTTTTGGAAAGAAGAGTTACTTAGGCCCAAAACACCAAAATGACAAACTCTTGCAGCTATTTGACGGTGGTTCTTTTGACTGATAGTAAGAACCACGCAGTGTTAAGGGGCAGCTTCTTAGGGTGCTGGAGCTGGGAATCAGGCATGTTCTTTCTGTCATTAGCCAGTGGTTACCTAAAAGCTGTAACCTAGAAAGCAATTTCAAAGTTATATTGTTATGAAGGATGAGATCGAGTTACTCTTCTGATTGTTGATCTGAGTCTTGGCTGTATTTGTCAGCTAATGTAGGCTTTTGAGGGACAGTAACTTTTTTGCAAAAGAATCTAATTTATCCTGCTGCAAATGGAATGGACTGCAGGGGGCTTCACTGCTGGCTGATTGCATTGTATCAGTGTATTTTTTCCTTCTAAGGCAGCAAAATTCTGATTATTTATGTTTTGATTAGATGGTAGGTAATTTGCTCTTCTGTACCACAACTAAAATAACTGTATTTTATAGACTTTGCATTAGTCAAGCAAATTTTGGGGGACAACCCACCACTGCAACTGTTAACTGCACGAGTAGATGCTGAGTCCCATTTGGAATCAGATGTGGGATATGTGAATTCGTTTTATAAATTGTTGCTGTAGCATCTTAAGAAAAAAGAAAGCCCTCTTAATGAGTTCAGGGACACTTTATTTTTTGTATCAGAAGGAAACTAAAGTAGTCTAGTGGAGTAGCTGTAAGCAGTAACGATTTAATAATTCCATGTAACTTCTCCACCCTGTCAGACTTTGTCACAAGTTTTGTCACATGTAGTGTGACCTGACGCATCAGATGGCGTCAGCAGTTGCAGGGTTAAGAAATGAGCCTGACCTGTTTTCTTTCTTTCTCTTTCATATTCTCTCTCTTCTCCCACTCCCCACTACTTCATCTTCTTTTTCTTTCTTAAATCTGTAAGTTTAGTTCACAACCATCCCAAACAGCTTCATGGGTAGAAAATCAGATATAACAAAAGAAATTATTGCAGACGTTTAACTTTTAAATTACAGACTATCGATGGTCCCTGCGAAGTCATAGTTCACACGTGGGAGACTCATCTACAACCACGATCAATTACCCCTTTAGGTATGGGCATCAACTGCATCTGTTTGAGGCATATGCATAAGATTGCTAATATGCTGCACATTGGTTTAGAGGGATTGATAACTATAGTTTTAAAATACTTAAACTTATTAATGTGTTGGAGGTATAAACTTTTTCTTAGCACAACATGGGCCTTACTCTCAAAATATATATGTAAATAAGTGGCTTAAAAATGGAGTGGATATGAAATTCTTTGCTGCCATCCTTAAGATGATGTGGGTTGTTTTTTTTATTAATTTGGAATTGGAATAATTTTCTGTAAGTTTAATTCTTTGAGACTAAGGATCCATATTATTTTTTCAGAGAACATGTGGGGAGGGGGGGAGGGTGTGAAGTCACTGCTGTTTGTATTTAGCTACTATTTCATTAGTAAAATTTTAAAGCAAAAATTCTTAATTTGGCTTCTTTAAGTAATTGGATTAATGTAAATAAACATGAATGGGCTTATTTACCTGGCAATTTAGCTGAAATCTATTTTGCTGGAAGAAAAGGTGGCATGCAGACTTGCATACAAGTTCCTAATGCTTTTCTGAAAAGGGGAAAAGTTTGAGTGACTGAAATAATCTTTGAATGTAGCTTGCAATTTAGATCTCTTATGCTGCTGCGGGATGGCATGTTTTATTGCGTGGTCTTTCCTAGGATATGTAAAATGTTATTTTCTCCACACTTAGGAGTTTACATCTATTAAATACCTCCTGATACCTTGAAAAAATAGGTTTTTCAGAAAGAAGCTGGTATTAAAGAAACTGTTTGTTAATTGTCAATAGTACCATGATCATGTTCTTCCTCCCCTCTTTTTTTTTTTCTATTTCAGTTGAATTAGTTAAGTGTTTATCCCTGTAACAAAATTATGTTTCTATATTTGTCAGTAACTGATAAGGGAAGCAGCCTACCCTCTGTCAGGGTCTAGACTTTATCTCTAAATTTGGATAACTTCATTCTGAACAGTTAGGATTTTCTTTTTCACCCCCCAAGTAATACACAATGCTTCATAAGTAGTCTTTAAGAAAATGCATCAAACCCAGGATGTTAGCATTTGGTCATTATGATCCTTAATTGTTGCCTGTAGTTATTACAAATTGAGAGCAGGCCCATGATGATTCTTAGAAAAAAATGGGATTGATGGGTGTAGAGACAAAATTTTGTTAAGACTTATGTTTTGAGAAATGTATAGTTTATTTAGACTACTGCAGTTCTCCTAATGCTGGTGAATTTACGTAGTGCCTTAAGATTTCAGTTATTAAAACTTTGGAGAGTGTAAGGATAAAAGTAAGTTTGAAATGAGTGTTTTGAATATTTCGTCCTAGGTTGATTTCTGTCACGTGGCAGAATAAGCATTTTAATTGTGACTAACTTGATTTAGAAGCTTTAACTATAAATGTGCAGGAGGACAGCTTTCTTCTGTGTTTGCAAGAAACTTTAATGTCTTTGACACTAACAAGAAAAGCATCTTAGATTCTAGTAGGATGTAGATATTATCAGCAAAGTACTTCAGCAAACTAGGAAATTATACAACCTTCTTGCTTTGTTTAGTTCAGATTACTTCAGATAAAACATCTTATGGCATTTCGTGTGTTGATTGGTTTTTCTTGCAGAAACTAAGAAAAAGCATAAATTGGGAAAAAGCTTTATAGAAGGTTGCAGTAAACATGCTTATTTATTCTTTGTTTCAGTTTTCCTACTTTTTTACTAGATATACTTTTTAAAGTGGAAAAGTAGAATTAATTTAACTTGGTAATGATTCTTTATAATGTGAATACTAATTAGTTTCTCTCATTCTTTTCCCTTCCTTTTAATTCTAGAAAATGAAATTACTATTGACGATGGATACTTTGGAATCCGTAGTAAGTAATAGATATTGACCTTTACCTCACATAATTAATTTTAACAAGACTAAGCATTGTAGTTGATAAATATTTGAAATACTAAGTTAGTTTTGACAGGAATTGCCTGATTGTTTTCTTTGCTTATACAGTTATTTTTATATCCAGCATTTGTGAATTCACACTCAGGCTGTACTCTCTTCTGATGTTAATAAAAGACTGCTGGGAAGAGTTTAAATATTGGCAGTGTGCTGGTGTTAAAGGTTGAAATTTGTGAACTTGAGATCATGAGCATGGTTTTTTGGTGGGGTTTTTTTGGTTTGTTTTTTTTTTTTGGAAGTACAGAATAGATTGTTAACTTGCTTTTAAAACCTAGCCATAGAAAAAACTCTTCTGTCTAGAAAAAAAATATTATCACTTATACTAAATGTACACAGTCTGCCTCTTTGGTTAGGCACATAACTGTCAAAATCTATCATAAGCTCAAACCTGATATTCTTGTGTGTGCATATGTCTCGCTTTTGGCAGTTCTAACTTTTATTTAACGCTCAATCCCTTGGAGCCTAAGGTAACTCTGTCATGTGTCATACATCTTGTCTTAAAGCTTTTCCATTTTTCTTCATACCCCCATCAAAAGATATGTTTTGCTAAGAACTCTTCAAATCTGTGGGGTCTGCTTCAGCACCTGGGCTGGCAGCTTGTGCTTTCTGGCTATGCTGCTTGTAGGCTTTCCTTGTCCTGGCGGTGAGGTTGAGGATTTTCCTCGGTGCTTTGTTTCCCCATCATATCTGTTGCTGTATCCTGTCCTGCAGACTTGCACTGCTTTACTGGCACTGACTATGATGCGCTACCCACGACAAGGGAATGTTATATGTACCTTTGGAGACATAACTTAGCCCTTGATACCGTAAATAAAATTAATGCTGGAATACTTAGTGCTCTCTTGCAGACAGTTTACACATGAAGCTGCTGAGGATCATTGTTCCTATTTAATCCCCCTAAAAGCCATCAAACAACTGCAGTATCTGTTGTCTATTCTGGGTATTTCAGAAAAGACAAGTGAAAGAATGCACTCAATAATTGCTCTGGAAATACTACTGAATAAGGGTGGTGATAAGGAGGATTGTCTGGAAGATGGTGTCAGAGGAACTGCGTTTATATTTTGTATATTATGCGAGATCTCCCTTTAGAAAATAAAGCTACTAAAGTGTCTTCTACTTTTTTTGTTTAATTTTTGACAGATGGTATTGAAACTGTGGATGCTGGGTGGCTGACATGTCAGACAGAAATAAGATTACGTTTACATTATTCTGAGAAACCTCCTGTAGTGATATCTAAGAAGAAATTTAAAACGTCAAGGTTTAGGTAAGAGTCTGCTCATCTCAATTTGCAATTTATTATGTTAATTGTCAATACCAGTGATTTTTTTTTTTAATGTAATTAAAGTAGCCTTCAAATTAATTTCAGGTTGCTAATAAGGGTGTACGATCTGGCCAATTTCCAGGTGTTTAAACACTTTGCAAAATACAGCAATAACATTAAATCAGTGGTGTGTTTCAGTTACCTCATTTTATTATTAATGTAGTGTCAAAAGAGTTTCTTTTATTTCAACAAAGGAAGACAAACAGTCTAAAAACTATTCTAGCTTCACTGCTTGCTTAATACTTTTCAGTTCTTTCCTTTCTGATAGTTATTTTGCTATTAAATATGTATAAAGCAGATGTGATAGCATAAGTTAAGCAGTAGGTAACGTGTCTTTCACAAATACTTATTCCATACTTGCCTTGGCGTTTTCTGCTTCTTGCCTTGACGTTTTCTGCTTCTTGCCTGGAACTGTAGTGGTCTTAAGTAGTTCTCTGCTTTCCTTTCAGAGAGTTTTCTTCTTTGTTCTTTTTTCTTAACTTCTCAAAGAGAGTAGAATGGAAGTGGAAGTTGGGGGAAAGGAAAGGGAGAAGGCTTCCAGGTTTTTTGTTGCTTACTATTTCTCCTTACCAAACAACCCTCTCCATTTAATATATGATTAATTCTTCCCTGGCATTACCCAGTCAACATAGATAGCAGAGATAATAGCATTCTCTAATCTCTTTTGTTGCTGTTCAGATCAGTTTGATGGTTGTATCTGCAGAGGTGTCTCAAAAAAAGGCACTATTATAACTACATAGTTGACTGAGAGAAGTGAGTGTCTTAGTCCTGATGTTTTGAGGACTGCACTATTGCCCTCGGTGCTTGATCCCTCTTGAATTTCTGGGAGCTGAGCTTGCTCTCTCTTCCCTACCCTCACTCTCTCCTGGTCCCTTTCCTTCCTGCGTGCATTTTTTTTGGAGCTCTGTAGCTGCCAAGCTTTATCCCAGCACACATCGTTGTAGTGTGTAGTGTAGGCTTGTTTTCTGTCTCTTTCACACTTTTTTTTTTTTTTTTTTTTTTTAAAGTCTGACATAGTGTGGGCTTTTTTTCTGTGTCTTTCCCACTTTTTTTTTTTTTTTTTTGTGAAACAATGAAAAAGAGAGTAGGGATGTACAAAAACCTCTCCTTAACTAGAGCCTGACATGTTTCTGAATGCATGATGATTGTTACTGCTAACAATCCTCAGCAAAAGTGCCTTTTTACAATAGCAATTTTTGGTAGTATGTTAGCCCTGTGTTACTCTTAGCAGTGGGAAAGAGGGGAGCAGGAGTTCTCAGATCCTTGGACAGACTAACACTGTTTTTCCCACTCCTGATGTTGCATACAACCCATCTTCTTGTTTGGAAAGGATTACGGTTCCCTGTTTAATTTAAAACATTTTTAAAAATGCAAACCAATTTGTATTTAATTGCTAGAAATCAGATTTTGAGCTTGTAATGCATGAGCAGCTTCCAGCATACCACTACCAAAGTGATTTACAGATCCCCAGATTAACTTGGGAGTTACTTCTGTACTGTGTGCCATGTTTTGATCTGACACTTGAGTTTTGTTTTTTTTAATCCCCCTCACTCACACACTTCCAGCTCTTCTGATGAGGGGAAGTTAATTCTCACTGAAGAATGTTGTATTAAATAAATACTTGTGTCCTGTTCTCTTTTCATTTTTTCCTTTGTGTGTTATAGCAGGTAGAGACAGCAATTTCTGAAGCCTGATGCTTGTCTAAATTAGATGGTTGAAATCCAGACTTGATAAACTGGATGCATTCATTAGATACTCTGTTTTCCACATCCTGCATAAAAAGTTAGATCTGGCCAGGTAGTGCTTTGTGACTGTCACCTGCTATGGCAGTGTCATTTTTCAAGTTTGTGGAGCATCTGTGTTGTGACTTTTTTTTTTATGAGGGTATTAAGAATGTGGACTTAGTGTAAAGGATTTCTGTGATTGTAATTGTTTCTTTGAGATACAACTTCAGTTTTACTAGTGAATTGGCATCCAACTAAATGATAACTCTTTATCCCACCTATTGCCAAGATGTTTTGGAAGGGGATTTGGATTACTCTGTGCTTCCATCACTGGCGTAATTCATTCTTTGTGGAAGGTTTGCTCTGTATAATAATGAATTCTGAGCCTTAGAGGCTTATTCTCAGGATTTTTGAGAAATTACATTCAGTTTACTTTGAAATGATCGTTTAGGATTTCTCAGGGGACTTACTAATTACTTGAAACTATCTTGTCTATATCTAATAGAATACATTTATCTGCCTTATCGGTGTTCAGATAGACTTAAAGTTGTGTGTGTGCACGCTTAGCAGCAGCCACCAATGTTCAGGTATTGATCTTAATGATTACTGCTATTTTCAGTGCTTTTTATTAGCCTTTTGGCATTATGGGTATCAATCTGTGGAGAAAGGCTGTCTATCTGGCAGTTCAAATCATTAAGTTAGTTTGGTGGAGTGCTGTTTCTCAGACCACTAGTATATTTTTCTCATTTACCCAAGTTCCAGTTTTAGAAGTCATTTGAGCACTTAAATCTGGCTAAAATAAGACTTAAACAGCTGCAGACTGTCTCTTGTGAGGGCCCACTGCATAGAGTGCTGTCCTGTAGGTGATGGTCTTGAGAAGAACTAGTGTGTTGTATGAGCTTCTGCTCTTTCTAATTCTTTAGTGTTTCCAAAGGCACTCTTGTGACTTAACCATGTGTTTTGTATTTCTGGTTGAGTAGAGTAAAATTGACTCTAGAAGGCCTAGAGGAAGATGAGGATGACGAAGAGGGCCAAGAAAAAACATCTCCTACTGTCCCTCAGAAAATGGCAAACACTGTGGAGTTCTCCTTAATAAGTAACAACGAATATAAATGTCGACACTCTCAGCCAGACTGTGGTTATGCTTTGCAGCCAGACCGATGGATAGAATACACAATACAAACCATGGAGCCTGATAACTTGGAACTAATCTTTGATTTTTTTGAGGTATGTCTCTTTACCACTAAGAAGCAACTCCAGTCTGCCTTTGGGAGTTGGAGTCAATTACCATGAAGATTTCACTGTTGGGATAGGTCTGTTGCCTGATATTCTTGGCCTTTTGGATTTGTGCAAACAAGTTACGAGACTCTTGGCTACTAGCCCACTTTGCAGAAAGGTTTTGTGAGTCGTCTTGATGTGGCACAGAAAGTTTTGCAGTTTCTGCTTATTTAGAAGTCAGTACAAATTCAACTCAAATCTTAATGTGCAGTACTGCACGTAGTTAGGTTAGCTTGATTTTTATCCTTTATCAGAGCTGAGTTTTGCTTATCCTTCTTGAATCTAAACAGTGTGTGTACGAACTAGTTACATTACATTTATTTGATCTTAATTTTTAAATTATAAGCAGAAGAGATTACTCTGAACTAACTAGCGCAAATTAAAAGTGGGTATTTGTGGATTCTCACTACTACATCTGTTGTTTTGCACTCCATTTTTTTTCCCTGAGAGATCTTAATATTCAAAGTCCTTTTTAAAAGAAAACAACTTTTTTCTCTTCATACTGTTTATGCAGAAGAGTCTTAAGCATTCTCTCTTTGGTCTAAAAAATGCCTTATTGCTTACGCTCATAATTGTGAAGTGGCTGCATAGTTCCTGAATTTGACTATAGTCAAGTGCATGTTCTGCTTGTTAGTTGCCCTCCTTCTCTGCAAATGAATGCAAAGTTATTTTAAGCATATATATTATTCCAGTTCATATTTGCTCGGAACATGACTTCAGCTTTTTATAAGACAGACTATTCCACGCATGCAATTTTGATCTGAAAAGCTTTTGAAATCTAAGTTTTCAAAAACAAATGTACGTGAATTTTGTAGATTTCCATCAACAATTCCATATTCCTGATTGTAATTTGCAGCACACTGTTACATTAAACAATTTTTAGCCTGAAATTGGCGTTTTCTGTAACACAAAAGAAATGTCTGTTACCTCAATGCCTGTATGTATCTTCCTGAGGAGCAAGGAAGAAGAGTGTGTTTAGAATTCTCACTTACATATAACAGTAGGTGTTTTGGTTTTTTGTTTGTTCTGTTTTTAGGAAGATTTAGGTGAGAAAGTAGTACAAGGCGATGTGCTCCCAGGTCATGTAGGTTCTGCCTGCCTCCTGTCATCCACAATTGCAGAACTCGGGAAGAGTGCAGGAATTCTTACACTTGCTATTATGAGCAGAAATCCAAGGAAGACAATTGGAAAAGTTAGAGGTACAGTTGATGCAAATAGATATAGATAATTTTACTGGAAGTCATCCATTATTTTTTGACACGTGAAGCATTTGCTATTTTTGTTGTAGTGGACTACATAATTATTAAGCCAATCCAGGGGTACACTTGTGATATGAAGGCTTCATACGCAAAATACTGGAAACCAAGAACAACCCTAGATGTTGGACACAGGGGAGCAGGAAATTCTACAACAACAGCTAAGTAAGTTCACTTGTATTGTAATCTGAGCGGGGGAATTATGTTTAGTTTTACTGATATCAGTTGAGGTGGCGGACAGTTAAAATAAAAAGCTACAACCTATAATCATTTAAGTCACTTCAATATCAAACATGGGTGTTCTCTAAAACAAAGACTTCTGGTGCATATTTATGTTGTTACAGCATGGCACAGAGTGCATTGAATCTAACAAAAACCCTTTTCTTTGCTGTTATTTCAGACTTGCTAAAGTTCAAGAGAACACTATTGCCTCTCTAAGGAATGCTGCCAGTCACGTATGTACACTCATTTGCACACATATAGTACCTGTACACTTAAAACTACCTTGGTTTCTATGTTTAATTTCTATGATTCAATACAATGAATGGTAATTGCACTGATATAAAATTACATCAAATCACCCTAGACTATCTATCTAATAGATAGTTTAGACTCTCATTCTCAACTTTCTGGAAAAAACCCGAAACTTTCATCTAATATGTTCTGGTAGTGTTCTAATACAAGGAAAATTTTAATCTCAACCCTGTAGGGACATAGGGTTGGAATAATTTTGAACAAATGAATAAAATGTTGGCTCTGCTAGTCTGTCAGCATGCTCTCTGGTGGCAAAGGTCTCGCTTGGGGACTGCTGACTATCTAAAATTGGTGTCCGAAAAATGAGACTTGGGAACTGAGCTGGTAGAATAAAACAATTCTTTGTTTCACTTCTTGCTACAATGAAGACTTGGAATCCCAAGATGAGACTTTCAGTTTGGGTGATATTAGTTTCAGATGCCTAAATTCTGTGATTGAGGTAGTCACTTTTATTCCTTCCAATAATCCCGGTCACTGAAATGGTCCGTGGTAAGACTGATCTAGATCTAGTGAGACACTGCAGCAGAGAAGCTGGAGTCAGAAGCACATTCAGAGGTTCCTTGTCCAGCTCCTGTTTTCAAAGGGAAGAGCTGTGGTTACAGTCACATAAAATACTGCTATGAGATCACCTGCTGCTGAACTTGTAGGGTTCCTAAGCCTTTTCAGGTGGTACTTTGCTCACACAGATTCTTACCAAACATCTTTTGAGGTTGTTAAAGGGATGGGAGCAGAATCTCGAGTATTCTGCTCATTGGCTACTGATTCTGGAGTGCTGTACTCCCCAAGAGTCATAGCTGAAAGCTTTCTCTCATTTGGGAGCCTGAGTATAATTTGAACACAGTGTCTGAAGCATCATCCATTGATTGCAGAGCAAAAGAAAACTGCAGCTACTAAATGCTCCTCTTGAACAGTAGCTGTTGATTTCTGGGTAGGTTGCTGCAGGGAGGAGGGGCATCATGAAGGCATCTATGTTTAAAAATACCATCTTAGCCTTGCTCTGAAAGCAAGTTTGCAATACTTGAATGTTACTAGAGTTTATAAGATGAAGCAAGCTATAAATCAGAGCTGCATAATGGTAATTAAAATACTTCCCCATACTTCTCGTTGATGCCTGGGACCTGTGAATACTTGGCAACTTGTCTGCAGTTCTGTAGACCTTGTGCATAAATAGTTAATGGGTTTTTGTTTTGTTCTGTGTATTTTTCAATTTTCTGTAGGGAGCTGCATATGTGGAATTTGACGTACATCTTTCTAAAGATCATATTCCTATTGTATACCATGACCTCACATGTTGCATGGCCATGAAAAAGGTAAAGAGGAGGATATTTGTATTTTATCTTTAAACGTGACCATTTCAGAAACTAAAATGCCAGGCTCTCACAGAAATAATTCTGGAAAATCAAGGGATGGAATGGGAATAAATACGCAACATTACTGTGTGCGTACAATAGAGCGGGGAAGCTGAGTTTCTCCTTTTGCTGTTGTAGCAACAGCATTTCAGATACATGGTTTGAGACTCTTCAAGCCTACATTGTAATTATTTTTTACCTTCTTTATTTATGCTTTGGAAGAAGAATGCAGACAACTCCACTATATTCAGCACCTCTAGGACTCTTTTATACTGTCAGAATAAGAACTTCTGGTTGTTTCTTTTTTGAGGGAGAGTTAGCATGATTCTCAGCATGACTTTTCACTCATGCTGATACTTAAATGTATACTTCTCTTAAGCAGCTAGGTACTCATAAATGCTGTTTAGGTCAAACTGAAGTCTACCTTGTTCAGTGTCATAGTGGTGGCCAGTAGATGGAAAGCAAACAAGTGGAAGAAACGAGGATCTCCTCCATTCAGGGAGTCTGGCCACAAATGGGCGTGGCTTCCATCAGTTTTTCTAAATCTTTCTTTAATACTTTTTTACTTCTGCCTTTTCCTCTATCCTTTAACTGTGAGGTAAACAATATACTTCATGTCTCGTTGGGACAGTAAGTGAGGCTAAAGAACTGCTTGTGGATTGCTTGGTGAAACAGAAGGAAAGGAGTTAAGACAGAGGTTCTGGGAGAAGGAAAATGGCTCCTGAAAGCAAGTGTCCTGTTCCTTTCCTTGCTGACCTCATAAGGCTGCAGTTGTTCCTTGTTTTTTTAACCAAAAACTTTCTGCTATATTTGTAAGTGTCGAGTACTATAACATAAGCAGCAGTGAACGGCACTGTTACTCATACATACAGATAAGCATTCCTTAAAAGGTGCTCTGAAGAAACCTCTTCATCACCCAAGTTTTATGAAGCATAACAATTAAATGTTCTCATGGAGTAAAGTGACGTGACACACCTTAACAACACGAGAACCATAGGCATAAGGACCAGTGACTCAAAAAAACACCGAAGTGCTTTTCTGTCTGGTCTGTTGCATGTTCTCTGCTGAGGCCAGAATATTTGGGTTCCGCAGCAGTGCAAAGCAGTTGGACTCTGTTCTGTTCCAGTTTTCTTCCTTTCTAGTTCTGGCAGTGAAAACAAAGATAGCGTGGCAGAGCAGACTGCAAAATAAGTTCTCTCTTTATTCTTGGCACTAAGTCTGTGTCATCAGACTCTCACACCTATTGCGATATTGCAGTTTATAAGAAGTTTGGTATTGAACAGTTGTGGAAATGAAACTTTGATTAAGCGAAATGCATATTCAGTGTATATTGAATCATTATTGTCCTGTGGAGTAAAAACTACTTTATAGTGAAGAGGGGAAGTGAAAAATGGAATGGCAGATTTTTTTTTTTTTTCGACACCAGATCTTTACTTTGGGATGAGGTGTGTGCGTGTTTGTTTTACCAGGACACTCGTCTCTTTTTCAGTAGTTTGAGACATCGGATAGACGATAACAAACTGAACTGCCTTGGAGTATTGCATTTCTTTGCAAGCAAACTTTTTTCCTGAATACATTAGCTCATCAAGTTTTTACAGAATAGATGTGCTTATCATTTCTGAAGAAAAACCATTGAAGCCTCTGACTTGCATGAAAGACCAAATCCTGTTTTTTCAAATTGACACCTGTTTTATGCCTCCGAGTGCCTATGTTGTCTCCTGAAAACTGATCATCTTACTCATAATAAAAATATCACTTGTATTTTTAGCAATAAAAGATAAAAAATTATTTGCCTTTAACGTTACCATATTAAAAGCATGTAGGATTTTCTGTAGTTTTCAGTGATGCTTAATTATGTATTATTTCTCTTCAAAGAAACTGGATACGGAGCCTTTGGAACTATTTGAGATTGCAGTCAAAGAACTCACGTTCGATCAGCTGCAGTTATTGAAGGTATTGTTACTTTGGCTAGTATGATAAGCTATGTGTAGATCAAATTGTATATGAAGCTTAGATTTGTTTTTTTGAGAGTAACTAGATAGTTTGGGAGAGCACTAGTTTTAAAAATTCTACAAGTAGAACAAGTAGCTAATTCCAAGAATAGTACTTTTGCACCATCATTACAACTTGATTAAATTTCATTCTTTATATCTTCTAGAAAGATGGTCTGACAACTTGTGTAGATCCATATCGTTATGCTAACATTGATAATTTTTAAAAAATAAGAAAGGCTGAGAGCCAGTGCTTTGGAGTCTTTGTTGAAGAAGAAAGATGTCTGTCACAGTCTATCCAATTTTCCAGTATTTCCCTGTTAACGAGAGATCCACATTATGTTGAACTGCTCCTTGGAGGTGTATGCAGAGGTGTAGAAGGGTCCATGATTCAATGGTGTGGCTTGGACAAACTGGCTAGAACTAATTGATTGTTTTTATTTAATTGGATACCATCGTATCTTCTGAACAGAAGTGGCCTGCCTAAGTGAAAGGGGGGTCAGGGGATGAGACTAGGCCACTGAAGACCCAGCTGAGATATCTGTCCTCAGTCAAGGAAGCACCTGGCTAGTCCAAGAACTACATGTTTCTTTTTACTTGAAATTACTTTGTCTTCTCATTTTTGTGGAGAGAGAATTTGAACGGAGCGAGGGAGTTGGCCCTATGCCTGACGTGATTCTATCTCAGTATGTGACTACATACATTATAAAACCACTGTCGGCCCTCTGTCTGCACTCGATTTGAAACATGGAGTCTAACATTTGACAGAGGAGGGTTTAATGTTCAGACTTCTTCACATTACATTATGTGTGTTTTTACCCTTGAACATGTTTTCTGAATTTTCAGTAAGAACATTTTCAGTTTTGTTTTTGAGCTTTCCTTGGAATCTTTGTTTTAAAATTTGGAAGCAAAATTGCAATGTGTACTAGGATTTCCTTTATTCTTTTACAAGTAACTAAAACTATGCTTATAATGGACCTTTAAACTTAAAAACAATTTGTAAGAACATCAGTTACATTTTACATATAGTAACATCTCTATGGGTGGAGTATTTGTTAATTTTACTCTTCTTATACTCTTTAGCTGGCTCACGTGACTGCCCTGAAAGTAAAAGATCACAATGGTACATACTGGTTTGCAAGTATCTTGAGATTTATTTATTACCATGTAATGATATATATTCTATGGTTGTAGTCACTTGTTCTAATCACATTTGGCTTCTTCCTGAACATTTCTAAAGGCTTATGTAGTTACTTTTAATTTTGTGCATGGAGTTCTTTGCTGGGAAGTAAATACCTGTACAGAAGCTACTCCCTTGGGAAGAGGGGACAGGAGGGTAGAAGATGAATGCATAGATAAATATATATTTATGAATATTCATAACAAAATTGCCACTAATGTTTCCATCCTATGCTTTTCTAACTGTACCTTTTTGGCAGCTCTTTCCAACAAGAACTTTGGTAACTGCTGTAGAGTGTCTTATTGGCACTGTAAATTTTTAGCCTTAATTCATCCCCTTTATAGGGACAGCAAACTGGCAAAGTATCTCACACACCCTACCTGTCTGGGGAAAGAGAAAAATAAATAATAAGCCTTGACAGACAAGGCTGCTTCTACTGGATGTGAGCAGAGATTGAAACAGTGAGGGGTGGGAGAAGCTATTTAAAGGCTCATGATTTTGAGCCAGTCTTTTCTTGCTGAGATTAGCAGTGCTGCTATTTGTTTTCATTCAATATTCTGTATTTCTCTTCAGCATCTTTTAAAGAAGAAGAAAACTCTGCATTTGAGACCCAGCCATTTCCTTCTCTGCAGAGAGTAAGCAGTGAATATAGAGCAATAGAGATGATGATTGTGGAACATGGAAACATGCATTTTTTTTCTTCCAGCTTTGCACACGTAGCAAGGGATATTAATTTTTGGGTTTAGGCCTCTGGAACTGAGAACATAGGCTTTATTGTTGGCCACTGGAGCCTTTTCAGCATTTAAAAGTGATAGTTTGCGTATCTTTCGAGCTTCTTAACTCATGAACCCAAGTTGTATAGTGCAGGGTACACTCAGTTTTACAGCTGGTTAACATCTGGGCATTTGCATTTTAATGCATCAACAGTTGTTTGCTAATTTTGAAAAAAACCCTGGCCTTTGCCAGTTCATCACATACTTTTGGCCGTCCAGCAGAGCCAGACACAGATAAATGTTAAGTGAAATTCTAGTATGTTCCCATATATGACTGTTTGGCAACACTGGGCTTTGGCTTACTTTTCACAGAAACAACTTACAACTGTTGACCAAATAGTTTGATACTGTTTACAGTGTGGTTTTTTTTCTAGAACTATTATTTTTTTTTGCCTTACTGTTTTTCCTAATATTTGAACTGCTCATTAACGTGCCTGTTAGGGACTTGTTTTATACAATAATACTGCTTTTCATTTGGATTATGGAGATGGTTAATATCCAATTATTTATAGGCTTATGTCAGAGCATATAAAAATATCCATCAGTTACAGGTCACATGCCCCACTGTATTTTTTTACTGTGTAATCAGATTACTGCATAACTACAGAAAATGGAGAACTTTGTGTAATAGACTAAACTACTGAGGTTCAATTCCTCTACGTGTTTTGATTCCCCAGATTTAATTTTCTTCCTGTAAGAAAGGGTATGTTACTTTCTTCTGTACCTGTCATCTTTATAGGGTTAAAGCATCATCTACCAACACTTCCTTGATTTCATTAGCTGTTAGCTTCACCTTTTGATTTGAAGTCACCTTACAAATAATTCTTTACAAGAATTTCACATGCTTTTGTTCTTATCATCGTAATATCAAGCTCATGGATTTCATACTTAGGACTATGTGTTACTTAAGGTACTTTCTGCATTAAAAAAAACATCCTGGAGAAGTAAAAAACATTCCTTCTTTAGGAGCGCAAATGGGACATTTCTTACACATGTTCAGGTGAATTGACTTGTGTTTGTACCTTGTCAAAATTTTGTCCTTAAGATTTTATCAATTTTTATGTATTTCCTAACTTTAAACTGAAGTAGAAAAAGGTGTATGTGTATCTTGTGTTACATGTTAAAAAATTGGGGTTTTAGTCCACTATTAGACCTATTGGCATTAAATTCCAAGGAGTTGTCTCAGTAATTATCCTCATAATGCTTAGTTGTCCTCCTTTGCTGTGGGGTCTCTTAATAATGAAATTTTTTCAGGTCCTGGAGTCTGTTTCTGAAGATGTTGGGTTCAACATAGAAATAAAATGGATCTGCCAACAAAGGGTAAGTAAACATACATGCGATTTACTTTGGTACTTTGTCAAATTACAAGCTTCAGCCATGAGAATGGCATAGTGACTTATGAGCTACAAAGGCATAAGTTTGGGGTTTTATGTGACTTTTGTTTTATTATAACCCACTGTCTTTAAAACTGGGAGTACAATAGCACCACACTAGCAAATGATTGCGTTCATAATGCAGCTCAGACTGCTTTTAGTAGAAGACCCGTTTTAAAGTCAATGGATGACAACAGGTCAGGCATGCCATGCATGGGTAAAGTGTCAGGGAATTCAAACTCTTCTCCTGGCCTGGTGCAGGAGCAGCCACAACACGGTGCAGTAATGCTGTTTCCTTCTAGTCTGCAGTACTGCGGACTCAGCTGGATTGCGTAGTGCTCGGTCTAGAAAGAAGTGGTTGTCACGGCTAGGACAGGAAGCCTGGAGTGGGGGAGAGGAACTAGGTAGAGTGGTAGGTGGTAGTCTGTATGCATAGAGATGTGCTAATGCTCTCAGAGACAGGTCAATTGCAGAAGGCTTGGCACTTGCTGTTCTCAAAAAGGATATTGCTTTTTTTTCTACAAATCTTATTGCTGTCTATTTATATTTAGAAATAGAACACAAAATATCTGTAATATTTTCTTAGTGATCTTTCATTGAATTCCTTTGTGTCTTCAAAATTAGAAAAGACTTCATAGAAACTCTCTCCTTGGACAGGAAGACAGTGAATTTTTCAGTGAATTGTACTGCTGTTAGAATTCAGCGGCACCTCACAGACTGACAGTCTTGTAGAGATGTAATGAGCATTCAATAGACTGAAGGGAGTGACTTCTGTCTTCAGATTTGCAAACTGAATTCTCATTTTGCTCAGGTTGAATGACGGGCCATTGCTTGTTAAAATAATTTTAGTAAGTGTTAATTTAAATAGCTGAAACTTCTTTCTTTTTCTAGGATGGCCAGTGGGATGGCAACTTGTCAACTTACTTTGATATGAACCTCTTTCTAGATATTATTCTAAAAACCGTTTTGATGAACGCTGGAACAAGAAGAATTGTATTTTCTTCTTTTAATGCAGATATTTGTACAATGTAAGTTAAGAGGAGATGAGAAGAAAACACGCGCTTTTTTAATTTCGTAAAATTTACTTTGAATGTAAGAATACCCAACAGGAAACAAATAACATGTTTTGATTGTACCTAAACTTTGGGTGCCATAACAGTTGGGAACTGAAACGAGACCATTTTGCCATCTGAGCTGTGCCAAAAATAACATAGAAGAACAAAGTTAAACTAGATTTTGGTCAAGTGCTTTCCTGAAAGCTTCAGTCTTTCATGACACAACAAAAAAGGTCAAGACTTCTGGTATCACAAAGTCTTTTTCAGTCCTAGTTCAGGGGTGTGCAAGCTTTAATTTAAAACCAAAATCATCCTGTTACAATTTTTTTTGCTATATCTGCCTTTTAAAAAGGACAGACAATGAAACAGCTTTGGATTACCTGTGTTTGGTTTGGGTTTTTTGTGGTGGGTTTTTTTCAAGGGCTTTTTGGCATTTTTTTTGGTGATTTGCTTTCGTCTTGTGGAATGTTATATTGAAGGTACTGGGGTACACAAAAAGCCTAGGAGTCAAACTGGGGAACAGTTGGGATACATACGAACTAACAGTGTGCTGTAGTACTTTGTAACAAGAAGGGATTTAGCATTGTCAGTGAAAGGCTTATGGACACCTCATTTGATGGGAGACTGAACTGATAAAATACTATTGAAGGGTAAATGGGCGAAAAAAACCAAATTAAGGTACTGGTAGGAGTTAAGAAGCAAATGTGTAAGAGTGTGTAATGCGCTAATCCCAAAACTTTGCTTCCATCTGTTGTCATTTCAGACCACTGTACTGGTATCCGACTCGAAAAATATGTTAGTAAAGTTAGATGTTGCATATTAACCATGTTTACAAACTCTTATCGTGAATCTTCATTTTAGTCTTAACATGCATTTAAGAAGAAAATTACAGAATTGAACAGTTTTCAAGGATTTTATATAAACATTTTGAGGATGTGGATCTGAGTTCAACCTGAAGTTTAGCTTCCCTTAAACTGTATCTTAATCTCTAATAGCGGCAAAAGCAACGGTTGGAGGGAGCAGTTTGTCACACAGTTTGATACTAAGCTGTAGTACCTTCTCACTGCACCAGCCAGGAACTAGAAGAATATGCAGTAAAGAGCATAATTCTCCTTAAACAGTAAGACTGAATTCCCCTACTTTTTAACACATTTGCTACTTGTGAACTTGTTCTTCTAACAGGGTTCGGCATAAGCAAAACAAGTATCCTGTGTTATTTCTCACCCAAGGAGAATCTAAACTTTATCCAGAACTTATGGATCTTAGGTCTCGTACAACTCCAATCGCCATTACTTTTGCACAGTTTGAAAACTTGCTGGTAAGCTGACAAGTTCTGGTATTACTCTGCAATATAAAATGAAACTAAGTTGTTATTACCACTTGTTGTAAATCTATAGTTTTTGACACTAATGCTTCAAATTACAACTAACCTCGTGAAAGAAATATGCTAACTTACGTTAACTGCCAAAATAATGTCCTTTTTTTAAATGTCTGTTTAATACATTGTTTAAAGAATAGTGCCATCAGTAAACTAATTATATTTTTTTTTATTATAATGAATGAAATTTTAAGAAGCCACAAGTGTCAAAAGATTAAAAATCCTGATGTGAGGATGTTTCAGAAACATGGATTTTAATTGAAGTCTTTTGCATTTCAGGGAATTAATGTGCACTCTGAAGACCTGCTGAGGAATCCATCATTTATTAAAAGGGCCAAATCTAAAGGCCTAGTTATTTTTTCATGGGGTGATGATGCAAATGACCCAGATAACAGGAAGAAGTTGAGAGAATATGGTGTTCATGGGCTAATATATGACAGGTACTTAATCGTGTTTTAAAAATAATAAAGCTGAGGAACTATTGTGTCCTGATTCTTGTGAGATTTTATGTTACTTTTAGGTTGAGTGGGTGCAGAATATCTTCCTTTTGTACTATAAGTACAGGAAGCCCATAAACCAAGCTCAAGACTTAACGCTAATCCTGACTCCTTCAGCTGTGTATATGAAGCAGAATAACTTCTGTTTCTCCTGAGGTTAACGTAAATGTAATTTAATTCTTGAAAGAACTAGTGCGTGGCATACACGTTTAACATGCTATTAACATTCCTGATGGTAATTTGTACATGACATGGTGAGGGCAATGTTATTTAACTGTTTGGCTGAAATCATCAGCTTTCTACATTTACTTGCAGAAATGGTTAACACAGCTTAAATGGATGATTTTAACTTCTTTTTTGCCAACATTCTGTTGTGTTTCAAAGCTGTGAATTCACCATTTTTCCTATTAAAGTTAGCTTCAGAAAGCAGGTATTTATATCCATACGATTCAGGTAGACATCAGAATACCATGGTATATCTTTGAACAAAAGTGTTATTTTAGTTCCTTCCAAAACCCAAATATTATAGTTCTTTTATTGTGAAAGATGTGAAATTCATTATTACAAGATGAGGATTAATTTGGGAAGCTCTATTAAATTAGAATTTCTGGTAGATTACGAATAATATATAATTAGGAAAACATTAAGTGTAAGCGAAGTGTCAAATTATGGAAGACTTTCAAATCTTTTGCTTTAGCAAGGGCATTGCTTTGCACGTTGTTTTACCTGAAAAAACAAAAAGGGGGGTGGGGCTGGTGGTGGAATCAAGTAATCGTCAAGGGCTCTGTTTTATGAAGTGAAAACTGAGTCAAGTTAACATACCTAGAGGCAAGAAATGCTCTTGGAGTTCTAGGCTCCCAGTGTTTTTTAAAAAAAAAAAAAAAAAAAAAGGGAGTTTGATTCCTCCAAGGTCTCCCTTCTTGTACCGTATACAATGTCTCCTTCTCGTTGGTGGTAAAAAAAAATAACAAGATTTTCACATTAGGGATCAGTTTCCAACTGAAGCAATTGAAACATAAGTCCTTTTCCCTGCTACAGCAGTGCTACATGTTGTACCTCTCCTACAACTCCAGATTGAGGCCCCTTCAGTAGATGAAAAACATCTCTGGACTAGTACGAATGGTACTCTGACTCTTTAGTGTACAGTCATAGGGTTGTTATGAAATTTGATCCTATGGTATGCATAACTTGAAGTGATAAATTATTGGTCTATAGACAGGCAGGGGGTTTTAATCAAATACTACTGCATAAAGTGTTGTTACAAAATATCTGTTCATCTGATGTCTACTAATCCAGGCTTCTAGAGTTCTTAATTACTCCGGATGTAATAGATGTGCACTACTATGGTAAAATAGTGAAGCAGGTGACAGCCTTATTTCTGACTTCATGTTGCTTTTATTACTTTAGATACTTAATTGCTCAACACTGCTTAAATGATGTTGCATTTATGTCAAGGCTGCAAGTCTGCTACGTGTCGTCTTCTGTTCCCTTTTGTACTGTTCAGGGTGTTTTAAGTGCAGTATGATAGCAAAACACCTTTTATTTCATCTTTTGGTGACTAACCAATTCATAGGAATGCCTTGTGGACTTAACTGAACAAAAAGTTCTTAACCTTCCTGCACTATTTAGACCATCTGGATTCTTAATAGTATTCATCTCTCCTCACTGCCTGCCCCCTGTATTTCTTCCACCTTGACATCTTTCCACTTTATTGAGAGGAACCTCAAACTTAGTATTACTTCCAAAGCTGTTTAAAAAAAAGTTAGGTTCAGTGCTGCATTTTTTTCTTTGTTTTTCAAGTTACAAACTGCAGTTGAGTAGCAGACAATTATCTGGTTCCAGTATAATTGTTGCAAGCTTGTTAACTCTAATTTTTAAATATTATTGACTTTTTTCCTGTAGGCCAAAACAAATACTGGAAGGTTCCTTTACAGTTCTTAATTTTTCAAAATTTACTAATTGTCTGAGTAGAATTAAATTTAATCTTAATATAGGTTCCGTAGAAGGAACATGACACTTCCTGATAATTGCATCAGATCTCTCCAGCTGGGCATTTTGAAATGCAGGTGGTACCTGCAAGTCCTGGATGACATGTCTAAATGTAGAACCTGACAGCAAGTGTTTCCTTTCATAGTTGTAGCTGCTCGGTAGAGAGGCAGTCTTTCAAATCATTTGAGAGTATGAAGCTAATATCAAGAATTTACACTGTCAAAATTTTAAATAGGTATGGTGTAAGCATCCACGTTCTGTGCTGTTTGAAGTTTAGGAGTAGATAAATTCAAAACTACTGTGAAGCAGAACTCCAGTAGAGAGAGAGATGTACATGCCTGTTTCAAGGTCTCAAAATAAGTAGGGACTGCAGTAATCCATTTTAGCGTAAAGCCAGTTTGTGCTATGGCTGCATCTTCAGATTTCAACGTATTTCCAGGGCTGAATCAAGATATGCTTCTTCCATGGCTTCTGCAGAATTTTTGTTCTCTGGACTTAAGGCTAAGTCCAGATATTTAACAAAAATCACTGTGCCTGGTGGTTTGTCTTGCTGTTTACTATACCTTTAGTTAAACCGTCTTAAGTTATTTGTCTGAATAAGCCAGGAAGTGAATACAAGAATTTTAGTGATTTTTAGCTTGCTTGGATATGGCCCTACGTTATTGTTACTGCATGCAGTAATTATTTCAAAGATTATCAAATGTCTGGGTAGAGATAATTTCTATAAGCTATTTTTTCCAAACTTTAATTGTCCATATAGAGTTGAGCAAAACATTGTAGCCACTTGTGAAGACGGCAGAAAAACTGTGTCCTGAGTACCAAAAGTTGCTGATATCAAGTGTCGGGCAAAAAAAATGCAGGTAGGGGGTCTGACTTTATTTTGCATGGAGAAAAAGCTGCAAGACTAAATTTGGGAAGCTTAGAAATGCCAACGTTATTGAAAGAACGATCTTGCTGGGGCAGGGGAAAGAATGCCCCCTCCCCATCCAGTCCTTTCTCCACTTGGGCTGCAGATTGTTAGACATACCCAAAGTCATTACAACAAATGGATGGTCTAATGCAGTTGCCGGGACAATATTCTGCTTTTTTCCCCCGTGTTCAACTAACATTGATCTCGGCATCTAAAATATCCAAACTAGTTGCATTAAAAGGGCAACCTACAGAACAAGTGCCACCTCTGCCTCTGGGCTTCTATTTGGGCCCTCATCCAGAAAAGTACTTTAAATGCATGACTGCATATCTTCCGTTCACACAGAAAATTACATCTCATGCTTAAAACGCTGTATTAGTTTGATGTTTTAGATTTTATTTAGAGAAGAAACTTGAACGTGTTGTAGTGAAATTCGCTGGATTGGCAAAAATTATGAATTTTAAAGCAGGATTTGTGGGGTGATTTATCTGGTATTTCTCTCCTGGATAAGCTTTGTAAACAGTCCAGGAAATATTTCTGTGTATCAGTATAATTCAGTAAGAATAATGCAGTCTATGTTTTTACACCAGTTGGCTATGTTTTCAATACCAATGTGGAGAGAGGGTGGGTGCTAACTTAGACTTGCATTCTCTTTTTTTAAATTCACTTTACATGATCTGAGTTCTGTTTGTTGAATAATACACACAGCTGCATGAAAATATTAAATCAGTAAGCCTCAAACATTTATGCTGAAAGCTTTTCCCTGAGAACCTTCAGTGTGTTTGTTTCCTCTCTAAACACTGCAGTTCCTTATGGCTGCATGGTGTATTTGCATACTTCAGACAAGAGCTCTCTGCTCTCTTACCATTAGTAACTTTAAATGTAGTTGGCAATAAAGGCAAAAACATTCAAAACGCTTCTCAAAACAAGACTGTCTAAATCTGCACCATTTTATTTGCCTGAAACCGAATGTTACCTACATATGTAACAGCATGGATATATATAGGAAGTTAACTAGTATTAGTTGATCTGTAATTTAATCTGCTCAATGATTGAATTAAGAAGTTATGCAGCGGCCATCTAAGTCTCTTCTGTTTTGCAAACTGCAAAGTAAACTCAAGTTTACCTTGACATGTAAAGAAAAATGAGAAGTTTAAATCAAAAGTTTCAGAAATCTTTTTATCATGAAAACAGTATTTTGGTGCTGCTGACTCTGGTTTTGGACTGAGCAATAACAAAGAAAACCAGCTGTGACAGAGACTTGCTGGATGTATGTGTTTTCAGAGGCTGCAGAAACACCTGACAGGAGCTAAGCACATCAGTTCTATGCCTGCTGCGTAACCCTGGAATGTCCTGCAAAGCTTGTTGTAGGAAGTGCTAATTTAAAAAAGTAATAGTCAAAGGGTTTCCCAGTCTTTTGCAGGCTTGCTTGTTAATGGGAAGTTGAATGTGTTAAACAGTGTCAGGGTTCACAAAAGCTCCAAACAGGGGAATATTCCTTAGTTTGATGTTGATGTTGGAAATAATTTGTAAGAAGTCCTGGAGCTATGCTCTGTTTTTACAGCTGCTGGTGTACTTTTGTAGATCCAAGCAAGAAGTGTGGACAAGAAATTCTGAGGTGCAAGGGTAGCCATGCTTCAAATTGTCTTCTGTGCTTTTGGTTTAGAAGAAACACTATATACACATTGAAGCAGACTCCTTCCAGTGGACAGTCTGAAAGGAGCTGTAAGGGATTGACTCGTCCAAATTCTCAATTGAAAAGAACTGAATATGAAGCAAGAATTACAGAATTTGTGCTTGGCGTAGTAAAGAACTAATAAAATACCTGCCAGAATCTGCTTAGAAACATACCTAGCCATGTTCTAGGAACAAGGGACTTAGAAACAGGCCTTTGCTCTTCTAGTGCCTGACTGATGGGAAGGACTTAAGATTCGCGGTTCCTAAGGTGTGTTGCTATATAGAAGACTACCTTCTTATTTCAGTGTGTTGGCTTGAATGTGTAGAGAAATTTATAATATGTAAGCTAACTTAACTGAAGAAAGCACAGGTCGTACCTGCATCCTGGAAGGGAGGAAGGCTTTTATTTTGCAGATAGTTTCTATTAGGCAATTCTGGGTCATATCTTAGGCCAGTATTGGATTCTAGGTGCTGTGCAAGTAATTTAACTGCTGCGCCTTCTATTTGTATTCCATAAAACTGGGCAGCGTCTGTCCTCACTTCTATCAGTTTCTTTACAGAAACTCTTTGATCTTACTGTAGGGAACGTGATCCATATCTGTGTTTCCTGCACAAGTTTCTCCTCATTTGAATCCTGTGTACTGTATCACTCTGAGCTGCATGTTGTTTTTGATATCTTGGACTTGCCAACACAACAGTTCACAAGTTGTCTTGCCGGGGTAAAAAGGCACCTGGTGCTGTATCATGCAGCACTCTGTTTCAGTTGTGACATAGCGGTCCTTTTGGACATACCTTGAAATTATGGTATGAAAGAGAAAGGATGATGCAATAAAAACAAACCACTTTCTTGAAGGAATCGTAAGTGTAAGTATGAATAGTCATGTAAGACTGAGGCAGAAGCCATGGTAATTCCTTCCAGAAGTTTTCATTTGAAGGAGATGAGCCTGGAGACCTGCAACACCTGAACCTGAATATGCGCAATAGCTACAAGTGAGGGGAACTGCATGCCAGGATTTAAATTTTGGATATAAATAATGTACTGGTGTTAGAAATTAATGTTTGGAGACCAGAATGTATCCTTGTCACAGTAAGTGTTGTACCACAGTTAAGTTACAGGAACATGAATGCTTTTGCTTTGTAATGAATTGCACCAAGATAAGTATTTGAGTTATGTTCAGTGCCTACACAGTCAAACTCAAAATGTTTTGGATTTGGACAATCTGGTACACTGACAATTCAAATCCTGCAGCTTTGTTTACATATGTGAAAACAAGAAAGTGAAAAAAGGATATATTATTTAAAATAGTATAGATAGTTAAATTTGCATTAAGTATGAATAAAGATCAGATTTTGTTTTTCACTTTTCACCTAATATTGTAATAGTAGTTTCAAACAATGGTTCTGAACTGGAGGGATGTGAAATATTTTCCTGAAAAATATGATTTTACAGGTGGCACGAAGCAGTGAAGTAAGAGCAGAGTGCCAGGTTTCAAACTTAAAAGCGTAAGAAATTTCAGAGCCCTGAGGTTATTTGAACAGACAGTGATACAGTACTTTTACCTAATGCTGAATGGAGTTTATACTTGCTGTTTCAAGAAGTAAGGCAAATGCCAGTGGGTAGCTTTTAAGTATATCCAATTAAATATTTACCATTGTGTAAAAGGAGTAACATTTTGTATTGTAAGATGAGTAGCAAAACTTAGGGTACTAATCTCGAACATACCGTTTTTATAGGCTTGCAGATACCTACTTTTACTCTAGTAGGAGAAAGATGCAGTTGCTTCATCAGGTCTATGTTTCTGTGAGCTGTCAGGTTATACTGATCAGTGTTTTTTCTTTTCTCATTTATTCAGGATATATGACTCGAATCCTGAACAGCCAAATATATTCCAGGTGGAACAGCTGGAACGTCTCAAGAAAGAATTACCAGAGTTGAAAAGCTGTGTGTGTCCCACAGTTAGTCACTTTAAATCCATATCTCCATGTAAATGCCATCATAGTTGTCTGGAAGAGAAGGCCATAGATAACTTGAAGAGCGTTCAGATGCAAAAGGACTGATTCTAGGCAGAATGCTGTTTTGTATCTATTTAACTTTCACCCTTGGAACAGTGCTGTCTATGCCTTCAGGTTTGTTTGTTTTATTTTTAAGTCCCCAAATAGCAATAACTGTGTTCCTCCTTCCTGACAGTACTTGTTAAAATTTCAAATAATGTTAAAATATTCAGCCAGTTACTGTTCCAATTTGCATATGCAGTTTTAACTTTTTCCTATAATTGTCTCAAATCTTGAAAAATAAAATGAAGTACTAACACTAAGTGTGTTTTTCAAAATAAAAAAACTAAGCAGTCTGAGGAGTGGAAGCTCAGAAACTAAATTCTAGGGAAATTACAATGATCTGATACTGAATATGCTGAAACATTGTTTTGACTTTGATTTTTACTTCAGTGCTAGAGCTTGTCAGTCTGTATCTGACAACAGGAAATGAAGAGAATGATTGTAAGATACATGTAATTAGATCTGGCCTGAATAAATTCATACCTCCTATGTATTTGCACTGATAGATCCACGTGTACAAAGCTTTGTGCCATTTTAAAATGCCTATATATTTTTAAGTAAACTGCAATGCATATTAACTCATTTTTCCCCACTTCATTGGACACTTAGGCTGCTGCCATTACTTTCTGATTTGCCAGTTCATTGGTACAGTGTCTGTATAGCAGTCAAGGGTGAACCATGAGTATGATTTTTTATTTTTCATTCATCTGACACGGGCTTGCTAAACTTTAGAAATGTTGCAGATAATTTTAACAGAATTACAGTAACATCTTCAGTGGTTGAGAACCTTTTTTGCACGGTAACCTTAATACGTAACATGCACAAACTCAACAAAATGCATGCTTTAGTTATTAAGCATGAAATTTAGGTGTTTGAGGTCCTTGCATCTTTACGGTGCTAGTTATGTGTGAAGGGTGCAAGGACCAGCTCAACTACTTAGTCTTCTTTGCCTAAAACCACAAGCCTGTTGTTCACAAACATTGGAAGCAAAGGCTATACCATACATGGTTTGTCTTATTTCCATAGTACAAGCTACTAGCTTTTGTATTTTGCAAGATTTTTTTTTTTCCCCTCAGAGCAAGAATCACAAGTGTACTGAATTCAGATAATCGATGTTCTGTTGGCTGGTGTCTATCCTCTGTAATTTATTACAAAGTCATAGTTTGTAGTTCTTAATAGATATGTATGCATGTCCTTTTTTCCTCCTGAAGTTGCAGGTCATGCCAACACAACTGCTGTAACTTTCTACTGAAGTGTTAATGTATAATAAGAATGGAAAATATTTATTTTTTTCCTTGTAAATTGACAATGAAAACAACAGTGTGTACTATATTCTTTATATACAGTCATTGCTACATAGAACTGATTGTACAAAGAGTAAAGCCATTGCAAGTAAGTGCTTGAGCCTGCACTGCTGAGCAGTTTGAAACAAACAGCTTGTTTCGACTTGCCTTGTGCATTTTAGTATTTAAGGGTTGTTCGTCCTGCACAAACAGCACAGAAATTACTACGTATCTGGAAGCAGTCTTTTATTAAAAAAAAAACAAAAAAACAAAAAAACCCAACTTTGAAAGTATGTGAGCTGTGTTTTTTTGGGAGGGAGCACTGAAGCTGACTTTGGACATAAGGATCCTGTGGCTGTTGTCTGACACAGTAACTACAGCTTCCTGACCTGTGTGACTGAATTTTTTTCTTATTTGTATACTCCTGCAGGCTTCTCTTGACAGATCGTGAAAGCTTTGCCAACAGATGTGCAAACCCTACCAGCATTACTATGTGTGGCACTGCTGATGAATGCTGGGCAGTCCATCCACAGAGATGTTGAACACGGATTCACAGAATCCTAGAATGGTTTGGGTTGGAAGGTACCTTAGTTCCAGCCCCCCTGCCACAGGCAGGGACACCTTCCAGTAGGCCCCATCCCACCTGGCCTTGAACTTTTCCCGCGAGGGGGCAGGCGGCAGCCACAGCTTCTCTGGGGAACCTGTTCCAGTGCCTCGCCACCCTCACAGTAAAGAATTTCTTCCTTATATCTAATCTAAACCTACCCTCTTTCAATTTGAAGCTGTTACCCCTCATCCTATCACTGCATGGCCCTTATAAGAAGTCCCTTTACAGCTTTTTTGTAGGTCCCCTAAAAGCTGTCTTCCTTACATCTAGTCTGATTTGAGCCTCTTCTAGTTTAAAGCCATTACCCCTTGTCCTATAACAACAGGCCCTGCTATAAAGTTTGTCCCCATCTTTCTTACAAGCGCCCTTTAAGCACGGGAAGGCTGCAGTAAGGTCTCCCTGGAGCCTTCTCTTTTCCAGGCTAAACAGCCCTAACTCTCTCAGCCTTTCCTCACAGGAGAGGTGCTCCAGCCCTCGGATCATTTTTCTGGCCCTCCTCTGGATCTGTTCCAACAGCTCCACAGGTCTTTCCTGTGCTGAGGGCTCCAGAGCTGGATGCAGGACTCCAGGTGGTGTCTCTCTAGAGCAAAGTAGAGGGGCAGAATCACCTCTCTCGACCTGCTGACCATGGTTTTGGTGCAGCCCAGGATATGGTTGGCCCTCTGGGCTGTGAGCGCACACTGCCAGGTCATGTTGAGCTTCTTGTCAGCCAGCACCCCCAGGTCCTTCTTGGCAGGGCTGCTCTCAATCCATTCTCCACCCAGTCTGTACTTCTGTTTGGGATTGCCCCTTGCACTTGGCCTTGTTGAACCTCATAAGGTTTTTACAGGACCACCTCTCAAGCCTGTCCAGGTCCCTCTGGATGGCATCCCTTCCCAAGAACAAGTTACTCATTACCTTTCTTGTGATGAATTCATTATTGTCTTCACCAAGGCCTCTTTTAAAGCTGAACTTGAGCGGGAGCACAAGAGAATTATATAATATTGGTTCAAGCCAAAACTCCATACTTGCAGTGCGCTAGCATGTTTCTAGGTACCAGCTAAACGGCAGGGCTCACCGCAGCCAGATCGTATCAGTCTGACCCATATCCTCATTCCCTTCGAGGCTGCCTAGTTCAGGCCACACCATGGGCTCTTAAATCAAATTCAAATTTTGGCACAGTGCAAGAAAGCTACCGATTCCCAGCAGCAGAGATCTTCCTGTATTTGTATATGAAAGCGTCCGTCTTTCCAAGACTAACCCCATAGACGCCATCTGGCACCAGAGACCCAAAATGCGTCTGTCTGCTGCCGAGAAAGGATTCTTCAACACCACCCACCGAGGAGGAAGGATTCCCACCAACAGCCGGGGCTTTTGCGGTGGCGGTTTCACTTGCACCATCAGAAACGGCATTAGGAGACTCATTTTCAGCACACTTGGTAATGCCGTCCATGCGCTTATGGAGATCTTGGCTCAGCAGCAATACGACAGTGCCTCCCACACGGACTACCCTGGCAGTTGCAGGAAAAATAAAGGTGAGGTGTTCAGCCTGCCTGGCATTCATTCATCCGTGCAGAACTCAACGCTGCTGACGCTTCAGACACCAGCTGCATGCGACAAAACACCTAAGCACGTTAAGGGTCATGGCTCAACTCAGCAACCTACATCTCCCAATGGAATTTAAATTCCCCAGCTTCTTAACTCTTCCTAAATGGGAGAACTGGGCCCTATCCTGACTCCCAAACATTTCTGACCTCACAAGGTCTTTCCACTGGGTTAGCAGGGAAATTGGACCCATTTTTTTTTCCCTCTTAGTATTGTTCCAAGGATTGAGGGCAGCATCACCTTCAGATCCCATTTCTGGGTCCCATGAGCCCCCCCCACTCTGCAAAGGAACAGCTGCCCAGGGCAGCACCAGCTCTTCAGGTTGGTAAGGCAGTTCTGAAGCTGGCCTTTCCCTTTGGAAACTGCAAAAGGTCTGTCCTTTCTGTGCTCCACTGAGCCTTAACGGCTTTCAAACCCAGGAAACAGAGGAAAAGGAACCACCGTTTGTCATCCATGTTTCTTAGGACATGAGCAAACATTACACTTGGCTTTGAAAGAGGGGAGGCATCTAAAAGCAGACCAGGTGGGTAGCTGGACCTTCCAGTATACCCTAACAGAAAGGAAAACGCATACCACCACTTTCTGGTCTGAGAACCTTCCTGCCAAGGCAGGAAGCTTGGTAAAAGCTGGGCTGTGAACCCAAAAGGAAAGCCTATGATTTTATACAATCAGACCTCAACTGAGAAATGACTGCTGCTTTATTTGCCTGGTCATGCTTTAAGTTTGCCTAGGTCATTCTCTCCTCTTTCTCCTGTCTGCCTTGTAGAGAACATTTGTGAGTGCGGCTCACACAAGCAGCTCATTCCTTGTCAGCTTGCACTGCCATCAGCGCTTCCACGACAAGCCACAACAGCCTCTAAGGGACAAGGAAAGGACTCGGACTCCCACAGCCTGCACAGGATCAGATGACAGAGCTGGAGAGCGTTGGGAATAAAGCAAACACAAAGCTGACTGAATGGTTAGGATCGCAGACCAAGCATGTCAAAGGCCACACGTACCTCTCCATTTCCTGGAGAATATCCGGTAGGAGCTGTATGTCTTTTGTGATCTTGAACTTCTTCCCAAACGGAATATCCGAAATCACAGCGTCAAAGCTTTCTGAAGGCAACGGCAACGCTGCAGAATAAAGGCAGGTCTTCACATCTGACTACGGGGAAAAACAAACAGCAGCTACGCCCCCATTCACCTTACAAAACTGCCTGGCAGCTCTTTCACAGGTTATGCACTCAGATTCATGGCTCCTTCTGCGCCTATCCTCACCAAAAGCACGAGGAAGCCACCAACCCAATGCAGACTGGGAAGAGACAAATGCACGAGAGCATGGTTTAGCTTGCAGATTCCCTGTTACTGGTGATACGTTTGCCCCAATAGCACAATTCTCCAAACAGGGGACTGCATGGGTCCAAACCAACTGCCTCTTCTCAACACACAGCACATCTTCACAAGCAAAAGGCAAAAGAAGAGCTAAGCTTGCAAGCAACTTATTCCAGATGTTCACATGCACCCATATGAATGGCAAGGAACCACATGTTAAATTCCTCTCTGTCCCCCTTTT